ATTCTTTTTCACTCATGATATTCAGAAGAATGGTGAAATAGATGTACAACAAGTTCGTTCAAGCGATAATTTGGTTGATCTGTTCACTAAGGCGTTACCAACCTCAATATTTGAAAAGTTGATATATAAGATTGGAATGCGTCGTCTTCGAGACATTAAGTGATTTTTCATCAGGGGGAGTAACTACACGCTGCATTCTTTTCCTTAACAAAGGTTTTGTCCCACTGGATTTTCCTGGTAAGGTTTTTAATGAGGCAGCAAGCAATACATATTATAAATAACTATGTAAATCCCAATATTTTTTTTTGTAAGTTTTTAATGAGGCACATTATCTTACATGGACATCCAAGGGGGAGTGTTATGAATAGTTTGTGCATTGGATACTACATTGGATGCCCATGTTGTGAATAACTTAAAGATTAAATTTCCTATTTTATGTCCATCATCTTTACTTTTTATGACTATAAAAGGCCATGTAATTGCAATGGAAAAATACACCAAAGTGAAAGAAGAAAACACTTCTCCCTTCTTTCTACCTCTTCTTATTTACATTTTACTGCATTACTTTTATTTTATAATACGATACAATTTTTTCCTTTTTGAAAATTCACTTCTAGAATTATAATTTTGATAGATTTTATTTTATGATAATCGTGGTATCGGGGTCAGCTTGCATTCATCTCGCTTAATTTGTATTAACTAACTTTGTCCACCAAAATTTAAACAAAAAATAAATCACTTAGCATTTTTTTTAATCTCTGCTAAGATTTAAACATAAAATTTCATGATTTTCAAGGTATTTCATTGATCATTAGCCACACAGTTATGTCATCTTGATAAATTTGAATACTTGTTTTCTCCTTTAACCTCTATTCTTTCCCATATTAGCTTGAATATATTAATTTAACCGTTTCAATACTCTAGTACTTCATACAAATAAGAATTTTACAAGTATGTATTCCTAAAAACTAGGGGTGTACACAGGAAACCGAAAAACCACATCAACCCAATAATTCGAGTTAAACCGAGAAAAAAAAATCCGACTATGATTTGGTTTGATTTGGTTTAGTGTTAGAAAAAAAATCCGACCATAATTGGTTTGATTTGGTTTGGTTTTAACTAAAAAAAGCCAAACCGAAACCAAACCAACCCGACATTACATGTATACAAGTTTTAAAATATTTTATACATAAAAATAAGTATTGTAATGTAATTTATAAATATTTTTTTAACCTTTTTCATAATTCTCTCTTTTAATGTATTATTTCAAACTTTAATTTAGAACTTTTGAATGGTCAAATATGATTTATAGCTCATACAACTTAGTGACTCAAATAAATTCCAAAGCAAAATCAAATCAATAAAAATGTTAACAAAAAAAATTTAATTCAATACTAGGAATGACAATAGTATTGGATATTTTTTTTTTAGTTTTTCATTACTTTAGATAGTGAAAATACATAACTTACTTTTAATATTATTTAGTACTTACTACTTATTAGTCGTACTTATTTTAACATGATTTAGTAATTTTACATTATATTTATTTTTATTGTGGCTTATTAATTAGCAATATTTATTTTATGTGATTTGTTGACTATTTTAGTATAATCATGACTCATTTCACATTATTTTTATTATTTTATTGGGTACCATCTTATATAGTTTTATCCTACTAGGACCTAAGAAATATTAGCGCACAAAATATAAATTTTATGCTATAAAGATTTTGTCGAAAAAACCCCCGAAAACCCCGAAAAAATCGAGATTGAAAAACTCGACTTTTGTTGGTTTGGTTGGTTTATAGATTTAACAATCCGAGACAATTGATTTGGTTTGATTATTGAAAAACTCGAACCAACCCGATCCATATACCCTGCTAAAACTCTATATCCATTGACCAATATGCCCTTGATTCCACGTCCCCCAAAAGTTTTGCCCTATTTATGCTGACGCTTCAACCAGAAAATAGCTTTGAGCATAGCCTTAGAAATGAAGAAGAATGAGGCAACAGAGAGATTGGGATTTTCTATGAAAAGGGTGGTTGCCCCTCTCTGTTATACCTGTGATTTCTCCATTAAAAATCAACAGCCCTTTCAATTAAACCAAAAAAACAAACAAAAAAAATCATCCAAACACACCCCTAATATATATTCCTTTTCCTCCTCTGCTTTGTGCTGCTGCTACTGAATACTGATGTTGTAACGGGGCTGTGATGATTGCTTTTTCCATTTCTGGCTATGTTCAATTCATGGCATTGAGAAAATATCCGACCCGTATCTTGGCGGGGCAACCCGGTATGGCTCTTGTATAGCTAACTGGTGTTTGCAGCCATGGCGGCGTCGCCTTCTCTTTTGCTTTGACAAAAAATACAGCAAATCTGAGCCCTCACGAACAGGTCCGTGTAATAGCCTGTTTGGCTAAAATCAGCTTATTAGATTGAAGAAACTAACCCTTATTTTTTGAGACCTCACAAGTCTGCAATTATGAAAAGGGTAAAGGTTAGCCCAGAAGAATTTAAAGAAATGAGGCAAAAATAGAGAGTTTGGGATTTTCTTTGTTAGGGTGGTTTCCCCTCTCTGTTTCACCATTGATTTTCCTCCATTATTAAAAAAAAAAGAGAAAAAAAGTACCAACAGCCCTTTTTATGTCTTTATGACAAAAGCAGAAGCAACAGAAATGATTTAAGTTATATATGCTAGCATTTCTGTTCGAGCCTTGACTTAACTGGTAAAGTTAGATGCCATGTGATCAAGAGTTTACGGTTCGAGATCTTGCAGAAATAGTGTAAGGCTACGTAGGATAGACCCTTGTGGTCCGGCCCTTTCCGGACCCGCGCATAGCGCTAGCTTACTGCACCGGGTGCCCTTTAGTAGTTGTTGTTGTATACTAACATTTCTGTTTTTCCTATGTGTGCTATTTTACCGTGTTGATGGAAGGTACATAAAGAGGCAGTGATGATGATGTTTCTATATCCCGGCTAACCGATTTGGGCATTGAGATGAGCCGACCCGTATCTTGGTGTGGCAACCCGGTATGGCCTGTGATTGAGAGTTTTGAATCTTCTCTCACACATGCAACCGGTGTTTCGCAGCCATGGCGTTGTTGGTTTCTCTTTTGCCTTATCATAACACACATCTGAACCCCATTTGCTTGAAAGTACAAAAAATAGAATCTTTTCCATGATTCGATGTTGGGATATGTCGAACCTGTGGCCTTCTGCCACAACTATTAGATTGCAAACCCAGGAACTCAAAATGGGTTGTAGAAATAAAGTTCAAATCCTGAATCTGCTCTATTTTCATCTTTTAAGATTCGGAAAAATAGAACATGCTCTACCCCTTCCTTCGATTGCTTTCATTTTTGGCCTGATCAGGCTTCATCTTCTTATTGGGATAGCCATTTAGCTTGGTTTCTTGGGACTAGCCTTGAATACTAGCCATTTTATCATCGCATCAAGAGGGCTCCAACCCTCTATAATCGAGTGATGGTGGAATGACCAATCCAGTTGGATATGCATTTATCTGTCTGTACACTAACACCCTGTTTGGATGGTTGTTCTCATTGTATTGTATTGTTACCTTGAAAAGCTACACAAAAAAATTATGGAGAAGAAATTAAAATGAGGTGATAAAAAAGACCTCAATGGTCCCTTAAGTTCAAGGGAAGGTCTATAACGGGGCTGTGGTGATTGATTTTTTCCCGAGCTTCATGGAATCAGGAGTTGATAGGCCGTATCTTGGCGCGGCAGCCCGATAATGGGATTTGTAGCAATGGCGGTGCATGAGATGGAGTACAGATCTGAGCCTCAAAATCTTTGTTATTATCATCTCTACTTTGCCAGAAGGAAGAATGAGGCAAACAGGGGTAAGAGGGAGTTCTAGGAGGGTGGTTGCCCCCTCTGTTTTGTCCTATGATTTCTTCTTTAATAAAACCAACAGCCCTCTTTCCTCAAAGAAAACCAAGAAAGCATACATCTGGCGCCTTTGCGATAGGCATTACTGGATTCTTAGTATGAGCTTAGTCCAAAACTTCCACACTTACATGAAATGAATGAAAGAGTCAACATTCTGAAAGAGGCAGTTATTGTACTTGTTTATTTGTGCTATAAATCATTAGGGCATAGAGACAATTTGACCCTTTTCTTGGCTTGGCATGGGCTGTGATTTGAGGCTACTCTTTCACATGCAATCGATTGTTTGCAGCCATGGTGTAGCTGGCTTCTCTTTGTCTTACCAAAACACACATCTGAGCCCCATTTGCTTTTCAGAAAATAAACAGAGTCTTTTCCATGATCCAATGTTGGGGTATGTCAAACCGACAATTTTCTGCTACAAGTTGCAAAGCATCTTGCAGTCCTAATGTATCACCATCTTGTTTCAGTATCAGTTGAGCATAGCCTAGAAATATAGAAGAATGAGGCATCAGAGAGACTGGGATTTTCTGTAAAGGGTGGTTGCCCCTCTCCACTATGCCCATGATTTTTCCATTTATAACCAAAAACAACAGCCCTTTCAAATAAACAAGAAAAAAGAAAAAAATGAAATCCTTAATCTAAACACACACTATTATGTTGCTCTTCCTCTTCCTCTTCCTCTTCTTTTTGTGCTGCTGCTACTGATGTTGTAAAGGCGCTATGAAGATTGCTTTACTTTCTGGGCTATGTTCAGTCATGGCATTGAGAAGATACCTGACCCGTATCTTGGCAATGCGACCCAGTATGTCTGTCGTATAGCAAGCTGGTCTGCAGCCATGGCGACATCGCCTTCTCTATTACTTTGATCAAAACAGTAAATCTGAGCCCTCAATGGCCAAACAGAGAGAGTCATAGAATGAGACATCAGTGAGAAATATGATTTATTTATTTATTCATTCGTTCAGTTTTGCTGGTAAGCTCATGATTTCTTGCTGGAAGCAATTAACAGTGCTTAGTTCTTTCTGTAAATCTAGCTTCGAGAGATGCATGTTGTTGTTGATCTGCTGTTGTTGTTGCTGTTTCTGTTGCTGCTACCATTCTTTTGTTCTCGCTGCTATGTGGCTGCATTAACACCCAAACAACGAGGATCATACTAAAGATAAAGGTAAAAGTGAACATTTTGAGGCAGTGATGATATGACTCTTGCCAATGGCGTTATTGATTTGCATTGAGATGTCCTTAAACTCGTATCTTGGCAGGGCAATCTGGAGGAGATTGCAGCCATGGCAGTTTTGAGAAACTCAATGCCTGATCATAGTGAGACATGAGCCTCATATGAAAATAGCAAAGATCTCATTAGTTTAAGTCTGAGGCTGTTGTGAAAGCAGAGGGCTGTGGGGAGTTTCAATTAGTGGTTTTGCCCCTTTCTGTCATTCTCTGATGCTGATGATCACTCGAGTGAAAATATTTTCCGATTCCAAAACCAGCCTTTTGGTAAAAATACATATAACCTCTCTATTTTCCTTTCTTGTCACTCCTGTTTCATTTTATGTGATGCAATGATGCAATGAAGATTTTGTTCTTCTGTGAAAGATGAATCAAGACATATATTTCTATTGGGCTGGGAAAAAACTGTAACTTGGCATGGCAGCTCAGATGAGTCTGTGAGATATTGGAAAATGTTCCATTTCTTTGGTGCTTCTTCCGTGTCTCTTAAGGCTAACTGATGCTTGCAGCCATGGTGGTTTTACCAAAGCATTTTTGGTTTTTGTCCGAGGAAAGGCGAATCTGAGCATTTTTACTTTTGAGTGTTTTCGCTCTTCTCCTTGGTTTTACCCCATTAATCTGAGCTGACCCCGGAAGCTTTCACTAATGACTCACTCCTAATTCCTAAAGAAAGAAAGCGAAATATGTACAAGAATTTTTGGTTTTCGCTCTTCTCCTTGGTTTTGCCTCATTAATCTGAGGTTACCCGAAAGCTTTCACTAATGACTCACTCCTAATTCCTAATGAAAGAAAGATAGTATATACAAGAAATGATTTATATTTACAGCTGTCAGGGTAGTAGAAAGAACTGTTATGGAGATGTAACAAAACAAAAGCTCAGGAGAACGAGAATGAGGCTTCAGAGAGTTTAGGATTTTCTGTTGAAAGGGTGGTTGCCTCTCTTTGTATTAGCCCATGATTTCTCCATTACTGTAACAATCCCAACAACCCTGTAAAAATTTCATGGAATGGCCAGTTTTCACCTTGCTATTTAAGGTATATCCAGTTTTTTCAAAGTATTTAACTTGTAGCCAGTGTTGGTTAGTATGATTGACTGCTTGAAAGAGGCGATGATGATTTTTTGTCAATATTCTATTCCCTTCTGAGCTTATCAATTGGGCATTTGAGATGATTTTGACGCGTATCTTGGCAGGGCTTGCCCCCAGATTTCTGGTGGTTTTTTGCAGCCATGGCGCCGTCGGATCTCCTTTTGCTTGACTTATAACACAGATCTGAGCCTCAAAACCATAATCAGATCTACCCGGTTGGACCAAAGCAGGGGTGATTTGCACAAATAGGAATCTGAGGTCACTATTTATATTTTGTTGCGCAAGTTTTTTGCAAATCTCATTAGTTTAGTTTAAGTCTGAGGCTGCGGTGAAAGCAGAGAGCTGTGGGGGTTTTCAATGGGTGGTTTTGCCCCTCTGTCATTCTGCGCTGCCAATGATCGCTCCAATGAAAAACTTTTACAACTACGAAACCACCTTTTTGGTGAAAATACATATGACCTTGCTAGTTTCCTTTTCTTGTTACTCTCTCGGTTTTATTTTATGTGCGATGAGGCTATGAAGATTTTGTTTTTCTGTGGAATATGAATTAGATATCTTTCTATTACAACAACAACAATATACCCAGTGAAATCCCACAAGTGGAGACTGGGAAGGGTAGTGTGTGTGCAGACCTTAACCCTACTCTTGTGAAGATAGAGATGTTGTTTCCGATAGAGTTGTAAAAATTAGAATTTGAGATTATCCGGACCGTATCTTGGCGGAGCATGCCCCCAGATTTCTGTTGGTTTATGCAGCCATGGCGTCTTTGGATCTCTTTTTGCATCTGTCGAGTTGAAGTGTCTCAATGACAATTCATGACAAGTTTGAGGGGCTATCTATGTATTCTGCCTATCTGAAATAACAATAAGTATACAATACAAGATGTTATTAGTCTATTTGGTTTAGAGACAAAGAATGAGGGTTGCAGAGAGTAGAGGGAAGCTCAAAGGCAGTTGCTCCTCTCTACAATACCTGTGATTTCATTTTTGCCAAAAAAGGCCCTAATGCGGTAAACTGTATCCAAACGACCCCTCTACTCTATCTCCAAATCCTCACTCCCAAAAAGCGAATCAATAATAATAATATTAATTGTAGCAAAAATATGAGTCTGTGATGATATTTTTTCTTCTGTCTCTGAACAAATCGATTAGGGAAGAGAACAATTGGACCCGTATCTTGGCGGGGCGACCGGGACGGTGACGACTTGCAACCGGTATTTGCAGCCATGGTGGTGTCTCCAATCTCTTGCCCTAGCTTTAATATTACAGATCTGAGCCTCAATTGGAAGGTTATTTTCTTAAGTGCAAACTTACAGGCTCTTTTCCGTTGAATGTTGAAATTCTCAGGTGAAAAATCCATGAGAATTTCCCCTAAATATGCAAAAAGATTAGCCCAGAAAGAAATGAGGCAAAACAGAGAGTATTGGGATTTTCATTTGAAGGGTGGTTGCCCCTCTCTGTTCCGCCGTTGATTTTCCTCCATTTAAAAAGACAACAGCCCTTGTTTATGACAAAAGAAGAAGCAGACAATGTTTGGACATAAGAATTTTAAAATTCCTGAAAAAAGTAACTTTTTTCCAGTGAAATCTGTGTTTACTTTTGTGTGTGTGTGTGTGTTTATGTTGCTGATGGAAGTTACATAAGAGGCAGTGATGATGATGTTTCTTGTATCTGGGCTAACTTATTTGGGTATAGAGATGAATGGACCCGTATCTTGGCGTGCCAACCCGGTGTGGCCTGTGATTGAGATTTCTGTCTCACTTGCAACTGGTGTTTTGCAGCCATGGCATAGCTGGCTTCTCTTTGCCTTGTCATAACATATCCGAGCCTCATTTGCAAGAAAAGAAAAAAAGATAATCTTTTCTATGATTTGGATTAACAGGAAAATAGGAACGGGAGTCTTGGAGTAACATATCTGTGCCCCATTTGCAAGAAAAGAAAAAAAAGATAATCTTTTCTTTGATTTGGATTAACAGGAAATAGGAAGGAGAGTCTTGGAGTAACTTGTAAGTTCTCCTCGTGTGACCTATCGGTCACGAGTTCGAGCTGTGAAAGCTTTCATAGCTATTGATGCTTGCATTAGGGTATCTGTCTACATCATACTCCTTGAGTGTGGCGACTCCCTGGACCCTCGTGAACGTGGGTTGTCTTGTGCACCAGGCTGCCCTTGGATTAACAGGAAAATAACAAAAAAACTCATTTGTTAGTTCGAGGCTGCGGTCAAGGCAGAGAGCTGTAGGAAGTTTCATTGGGTGGTTTTGCCCCTCGGTAATTGTCCGCCGCCGATGATCGCTCAAATGCCTGTTTTTAAAACCACCCTTTTGGTGAAAATACTTATTACTCCCTCCCTTCCAATTTATGTGATGCAATGAGGCTATGAAGGAATAGGAGCCTTGGCGTGGCCGGTAAAGTTGCTGGCATGTGACCAGGAGATCACGGGTTCAAACCGTTTAAAAAATGCAGGGTAAGACTGCGTACAATAGACCCTTGTGGTCTGGTCCATCACCGGACCGGCGGACCCCGCGCATAGTGGGAGCTTAGTGCACCGATCTACCCTGAATGAGGCTATGAAGATTTTATTCTTCTGTGGAAGATGAATCGGACTTACAAATCTATTGAGCTGGGAAAAATTTGTAATCTTGGCATGGCAGCTCAGATGGGTCTTTGAGATATTGCAGAAGAATCCATTTTTGTGTGTTTTTTTCCCTTTCTCATAAGACTAACTGATGCTTGCAGCCATGACGGTCTTTGTTCCAATCTTTTTGGGTTTGTGTCTGGGAAAAGGAGAAGAATGAGGCAACAGAGAGATTGGGATTTTCTGTAAAAGGATGGTTGCTTCTCTCTGTTATTCCCTACGATTTCTCCATTGTAAATCAACAGTCCTTTGAATTAAACCCAAAAGAAAAAAAATTCATCATCCAATCAGACCCTTATTATATTGCTCTTCCTCTTCCTCTTTCTCCTCTCTGTGTTGCTGCTACTGAATACTGATGTATATATAGGGGCTGTGATTTTTGCTTTTCGTTTCTGGGCTATGTTCAATTCATGGCATTGAGAAAATATCCGACCCGTATCTTGGCAGGGCGACCCAGTACGGCTTTTGTCTAGCAAACTGGTGTCTGCAGCTATGGCAGTGTCGCCTTCTCATTTGCTTTGACCAAAAATACAGCAAACCTGAGCCCTCAGGAAAAGGCCCATGTAATAGCCTGTTTGGCCTTGCTTCCAAAATCAGCTTTAAGAAACTAACCCTTAATTTTTGAGACCTCACAAGTATGCAATTATGAGAAGGGAAAAGGTTAGCCCAGAAGAATTAAAGAAATGAGGCAAAAACAGAGAGTTTGGGGTTTTCTTTGAAAGGGTGGTTGCCCCTCTCTGTTTCGCCATTGATTTTTCCTCCATTATTTTTTTTTTTAAAAAAAGAACCAACAGCCCTTGTTTATGTCTTTATGACAAAAGCAGAAGCAGCAGAAATGATTTAATTATATATACTGACATCTCTGTTTGGAAACAGCCTCTTTGCCCTACAAGGTAGAGTAAGGCTGTGTACTCGCTGTCCTCCCCAGACCCACTCGTGAGATTATACTGGTTTATTGTTGTTGTTGTTGTTGTTGCATACTGACATCTCTGTCTTTTCTCTGTGTTCTTTTACGGTATTGATGGAAGGTCATAAAGTGGCAGTGATAATGTCTCGGCTAACCGATTTGGGCATTGAGATGAGCCAACCCGTATCTTGGCGTGGCAACCCGGGATGGCCTGCCTGGAGAGTTTTGAATCTTCTCACACATGCAACTGTTGTTTTGCAGCAATGGGATTGTTGGTTTCTCTTTTGCCTTATCATAACACACATCTGAGTCGCATTTGCTTGAAAGTACCAAAACAGAATCTTTTCCATGATTCATTGTTTGGATATATCGAACCTGCGAGCTTCTGCCACAACTAAAAATTAGAATTTGAGATTATCCGGACCGTATCTTGGCAGGGCATGCCCCCAGATTTCTGGTGGTTTATGCAGCCATGTTGTCATCGGATCTCTTTTTGCATCTGTCTAGTTGAAGTGTCTCAATGACAATTCATGACAAGTTTAAGGGGCTATCTATGTATTCTGCCTATCTGAAATAATAATACAATACAATGGTAACAACCATCCAAACAAGCTGTTATTAGTCTATTTGGTTTAGAGACAAGTTATGCCAGTCGTGGTGAGTATGATCGACGGCTTGAAAGTGGCGATGATGATTTTGTGATTATTTCATTCCATTCTGAGCTTATTAATCAGGCATTTGAGATTATCTGACCCGTACTTTGGCAGGGCATTCTTCAGGTTTCCCTTGGTGGTATTTGCAGCCATGGCGGCGTCGGACTCTTTTTGCCTGAGTTATAACACAGATCTGATCTTCAAAAAGGAAACACGAAAATGGTGGTAATCTCATTAGTTGAAGTCTGAGGCTGTGGTGAAAGCAGAGAGCTGTGGGGAGTTTCTATGGGTGGTTTTGCCCGTCTTTTTCTGCTGCAGATCTCTCAAATGAAAAATTTCCAATTGCAAAACCACCCTTTTGGTGAAATTTCAGTTGACCTCCCTCTTTTCCTTTTCTAGTAACTCCCTCCGCTTCATTTTATGTGCAATGAGGCTATGAAGATCTTGTTCTTCTTTGGAAGATGAATCCGATATATCTTTCTAATGAGCTGAAAAAATCTGTATCACGGCGTGGCAGCTCAGATGGGTCTTTGAGATATTTGAAACAATTCCATCTTTTTGGCTTTTCTTCTATCTCTCTCAAGAGTAACTGATGCTTGCAGCTAGATGTGAACTCTAAGGTCTATATTTGAGTTACTATATTTTTCTAAAGATGAACTATTTGATACCTTATTCTATTTTGTCCTTTTTTAACTCTTTGTAATGAATTTCTATGTTGCTTCATCGATATGAGTGCGAAAAATGTTTTCTTTTGACGAGAATTCTAGGAATGCAAATGATAACGTCTATTTTTGAATTTCTTTGTTGATAAATATGTTCCTTTTTGATACTTAGTCCTAGTTTTCCCTGTTTTTTAACTTTGTAATGAATGCGAATGTGAATGCTCTGAGATGGGTGTGTCTTAATGTTTTTCTCTTTGTCTAGAATCATAGGCATCATTGCTAAAGATATACTTTCCGATACTTTAACCTTATTTTCTCTGTTTTTGAACTCTCCATAAAGAATCACAATGTTGCCTCTTTGATATGGTTAATTTGTTTCCTTCTGTCTAGAAATTTGGGCCTGTCAATACTGACGTCTATGTTTGAGTTAACTTTGTTGCTGAGATTTTTTATTGGATTTAACCTTGTTGAATTCCATAATTTCGTCATCATTGCCTGTACTTTGAACTGTAATATACTGAACTTTGAAAATAATGTAATACTACTGAATCAATTTATGCAGGAACTCTGCAGTTGCTGCTCTCAGAATACAAGTCAAAAGCTAAATTTTGCATCTGTTAGTAACTTTTGTAAGCCACTATTTTATTTTTTTTGAGATCGTATACCACTTGTTTCCTTTTATGGGTTATGACATTAAGCAAACTTGAATTTTGTACAAGAATATGGAGAAAGATTGAAAGGGGTGTCGCATTCCCGACTTGCATTTCTATTAAAAGACAATGTTTTTCATTTTTCACTGTTGGCCTATGACGAGTTCGAGTTGTTACTGGAGGAGGGGTAAAGATGTAAGCTATCATGAGGCTCTAACATACACATACAAATATAATCTATCTGTCAACTATTCAACTAAAATAGCAATATAATGGGGAAATGTGATTTATTGTTTGTGTACATGGGTTCATTGCAGAAGTTCACATGCACTTTGTGATTGACCAAGAGGGAAGTCGTAAACATTGCTCTTTTCCTTCAATTAATTTTGTTTATTCTGTGCATAAGAATATCCTAAATGATGAGTAATTCAAGTAAGCTATGGATTAACATCCAAATGAAGCTTTTTGTCATAGTGACTGATGGATTAGATTCTTTTTTAGCTTTTTGTTAACACGACTACTTGTCTAAAAAAAATTGTTTTCCTAGGTGTATTTTCTGCTTTATTTAATCAGGTTCTTGATGCTGCTTCGTGTTATCCTCGGGTTTCTTTTTTCTTGATGAATTGTCTCATAGTTTGTTATGTTGTAGATAACAAGAGATATAATGCTTATCAAAAGAAAAGAAAACAAGAGATCTTACATGAACATCGAAGGGCGTGGCCTAGTTATAAATAAAGTGGGTATAAACCTTAGAGACTAGGGTAAACCCCAGCTGAAACAGAAAAAATGACGCCAAATGATTTCTTCTTATATTTTTAAGCCTTGGTGGATTAGAGTTTCCCAGGTACTATTGGTGAGAAATACCTGTCTTTTCTAAGCTATTTGTTGCTGATAGTTTATGCTCAGTCTAACATGCTTCTTCTGTAATTAGGTTGTTTTCCCCTTTTTTAACCGTCTATGTGATTGGGTTCAAGCTTTCCCCAGCCCCTTCTCATCAATGGACTCCTGATATATACGAAGGAGTACGGTTCGTTCGAGAAATTCCTACCTCTATCTTTGAGATGTTTGGATTTTTCAAAACTCCATGGACATGCAGAAGAGCTTTTACAAATAATATCTCGTGGATTTATTGGTGTTGCACTTTTTTTCTTGGCGGGAACCCAATTTTTTGCTTGTTTTCAAGATTGCTAAGAGAGTTGCAATTTTCTTCACACTTTTCCATACCTTATGGCAGTCTGGTACATAAGACATCCCATGTTCACGCAAGGTCTGGGTAAGGGTTGCACCCCAAGAAGTGGCTATAGATATTGCTCATATTTATATTATTTTCTTGAAGGGGCAAGAAATTTCTCGGTTGTTTTTATAAATATGCTTTGGTCTAGTGTAAGAGCACGATCTACCATGTGAGGTTAGGCACACTTCATAATTCTGCCTCAATGATAGTAATATTTTTAAATATTTGAATCGAAGTGTGAAACTGGGGCAATTGGTTTTGTGGTCCATTACAAACTTGCATTTAGTTTTATGATCCCATTTTTTTTATTTTTTTTTTATTTTATATATGGGAGATTTTCTTTTACACATGGGAGATCTATCTTTTATAAGTAGGAGATGTAAAAAAGAACAACAACAACGACTCAGTATAATCCCACAAGTGGGGTCTGGGGAGGGTAATATGTACGCAGACCTTACCCCTACCCCGAAGGATAGAGAGGCTGTTTCCAGGAGACCCTCGGGAGATGTAAAAAAAGACATTTTTTTTAAATTCAACATTGTAAAAGCATTTTCTAATTTATTGTTCTGCTTTCCCGAGTTCTAAAATATTTTCGGGAAACATTTTCCATAATACAAAATAGTAGTCTGTATTGGTGCGTAGCTAATTGAGGAAACATTTCCATAATGTATTGTTTGCTTTCTAAATTTACTGGTTTTGTAATGCATAGCTTCCCATATATCTACAATTATATCTTCTATTCATAGAATATAAATTCGATTATTAATAAGGTGGTATAAGACAATCACTACACTGATATCATATCACTAACGAAATTAAAAAATTTAGACTATCATATAACTTGTCGTATAAATTAAGGTGCTCGATTCTCTAAACTTCAACCCAAAAGGATTTGGGTTAAGATCTGCATTATTGTAGATTGGTTGCTAGAATTAGTTATGTTACTTGCAATTTGATTATCATAGTACTATATCCACATATATATATATATATATATATATTCAGTTATTTGTTAAAATTTCCTGCTTGATTTTACCTCAAATTATCATTTGCCTCGTTTCACGCTTTTCGCTCCAGGTTGAAGGACCTTATCGTTTGTGCTTTTCGCTTTCAAACCACTGTTAACATATTTGGCAGCAATTTTTTTTCCAAGTTTAGTGCCCGTTTGGATGAGCTTGTTTTAAGTAGTTTTTAAGCCAAAATAGTTGTTAAGCCATAAGTTAGGATTTCTAGCTTTTGATTTTTGGCTTGTTTTTGTCATTTTAGCTTAAAAACAAGTGCTTAAAAGCACTTTTTTTACTTTATCCAAACACTATAAAATGGCTTAAAAGCTATTTTAGCTTAAAATAAGTCAATCCAAACGGGCTCTTAATCACATTCAGTTATGTGCTTTTTGAAGCAAAGAAGGAGATTAACCACTTTATAATAAAAATAGGATTTAGGGCTAAATTTGATAGTATTTGATTAATATTGGTAGTATTTTATGAATTGATTAATTTTAATAGCATTTTAGTCAAAAGGCCTAAATGGATAGTTTTTCATTAGGAAAATTTACCTGTCATAGCTAAATCTAAGAGCTACTATTAATGAATCATAGCTACCTTTTAATTTAATTATTTTTCATAACTACAATGAATTTTTAATTTACCCATCATAGTCAATACCAAATACACAGAGCGTTTCACTCTCTCTTCTCCCTCGGCACTAGATACAGTGTATATTGTATTTTCGCCAGAGATCTAAAGTGTATTTTGGATTTTTGTCGGAGGTCTATAGGGGTTTAATTGTATTCTCCATTTTTAAAATACAGTGCATCTTATATTGTCGGAGATTTGACTGTATTCTTTATTTTTTTAGTTAAATACATTAATTTTTAAAAGGATTTGAATGTATTCTTCATTTTTTAGTGTAAATACAGTGGTATTTTGTATTTCGATTGAGATCCGGCTGGGTTTGATTGTATTCTTTCTTTTTAAATATAGTGTATTTTATATTTTCGCCAGAGATTTGACATGATTCTTCATTTTGTCATCTTTTTTAGTAAATAAATTCAAATACCTTCGAATATATTCAACCTTGCCACATCAAATAAGGTTGGATCAACTGAACAATGTATTTAAATACACTCAAAAAAGTCGAAAAAATAAAAATAATAAAAATACAGCTTAACAGTGTATTCAAATACACCCAAATCAGCGAGTTATCCAAAACTAGCTATGAAACGTAAATACATAAAATGTAACTGCGGATTGTTCAAAGCTCCTTAAAAGTAGTCATTTCTGAAAGTTCCCCTTTTTCATTATTTAACTTCAAAATTCGGATTTAAATTCAAGGTCCGAATTTATATGGGCAAATCCAGTTAGGCTTTAAATAGCGAAAAGGGATTTTTACATACCTATGCACTATTTGAAATTTTATTACCAAAATTGTCCACGTTTAGTTAATTATCCTACCTACACAAATTTTGTTTACAAAATATATACATTCCACCTTAAAATACTACAAATCAATTATTAGTGTCTTCAATCAAAGAATTTAGCTACAATTTTTTCCTTTTTTTTCTCCTCTTCTCTTTCCTTATATTTCCACTCATATATTTTCTCACAAATCATCTTCTGATTTTTCAATCTCCTCGGTCATCTTTATGTACAAAAGGAAATGATAACTAAAAAATGACAATCAATGTATAACATACAACTACTAGGAAATTAAAACTGTATATACACTGCCGCTTCCAGTCAGACATTAATGTCATTTGTTTACTCTTGTCATTTATCAGGAAAAGGAATATATCCAACTTTGTGATGTGGAATGCTGAAAAAATTTCTAATTGACTAGAATATGAAATTTTTGTTACGAAATAATAAAAGAAGAAGAGTATTGCAGAGAAAAATAGAGAGAAGAGAATTCTTATTGATATGAGATAATTTACGATGGAATAGAACCCTCTATTTATAGGGAGAGTGTGATTTAGCCACCAAGTAATAAATCTTAGAATCTCTTTAAATATAGACATTCACCATAAATAAAATTCTATTTATAACACTCCCCTTGAATGTCTATTCAACAGAAAATGTGCCTTGTTAAAACCTTAACTAAAATAAAACCCAATGGGAAAAAAATTCTAGAGAAGGAAAAAGAGTACACATATCTAACAATACACCTTTTGGTTGCCTCATTAAAAACCTTGAAAGGAAAACTCATTGGAACAAAACCTTGTAAGGAAAGAAGAGTACAACACGTATTAACTTTTCCTGATGAGAGCATCAATTCACATCCTAGAGTCTTCACATTCCAATCTTGTGCACCATCTTCAAGAGATCGTTGGTATAGATTCGATAAACAAATCAGGCATATTAACTTGAATGAATATTTTGCACCTTGAAATCATCATTCGTGATAGATATATAATGTCTTCATAAATATCTTGGAATGGCTCTTCAATATCTCTATAGAGGTATTCTCGCTATCACATTATCATGATTATAGTTATAGCAAGATACATATGTGCACAAATTGCACTTAGGAAGTGGTACTTGTAAGCACGTGATTTTTTGCCCTATGAAAGAATTACTCCCAAAAATTCAAAATAAAACGATTTTCCTTGGTGTGCAATTTTGAGAATTTTTGTGACATTTTTGGATAATTATTTGTATTTGTCTGTGCATGTTTATTTGTTAAATTAATAAAAAATACAAAAATATGTCGCATTTTGCATGTAGGATTTAATTCTACAATTGTTAGTAATTAAGTTTGTTTTACAAAAATGAAAATTATAAAAATAGGCATCTTTTGCATTTTTAGCATTTAATGTCCAATTGTACAATTTTATGCTTAATTATTACTTAATTGTGTGTTAACTGTTATTGGGAGTTAATTTGCGCTTTTATGAATTAATTTAGTTCTATATGATAATTTAAGGATTTTAGAATTTAGTTTCAGTTTAAGAAAAATAAAAGAAGAAAAGAGAGCAAAAATATAAAGAAAATCGGAATTGGGCTCTTCTTCAAATCCAAGCCACAGGCCCAAACAATACCCAACCTTCCCCATGACCCGGTCCATCTCCACACGGGTCGACCCGGTCCGCCCCATAACCCCAATACCTAACCCCTCTTCATTTTTCATTTTTTCCCAAAAACAAAAGGNTTTTAATTCTTGATTTAATTTGAATATTCATCTTGGTTGTAATGTTGTTGGATTTAGTTTAAAGTTTAAATGATTATTGAATTTAGAAATTCAAATCTACTTGTTTGTTATGTTCAATTTGTTAATATTATTGAATCTGAAAATATATGTGTTGTTAAAAATATCGTTCAGTCAAAATAATTCCGATTGTTGCTTTGTTGTTCATCGTTTAAGTTTGAATTTGTTGATTGAACTGGATTAAGGATTGGTTATAGCTGGTAATTTAATTTTAAGTTCTTAGATAATTTTGAAGTTTGAACAGATTTTGAATCAGGGTAGTAACAATAGTTTTATGGGTAAAACGGGAATTAACCAATTGCATATTATTTAATTATGGTGGGGGATAAGACATAATGATAAAAGCAAAAAGAAAAAGGTTAATAATGATGTCTTCTTTTGACCATTCAAAAAGAGGGAACATGGGGGGCCCATGTTGACTACTTTTACTAAAGTAAAAATTAGAAGTAGTGTAGGTAATAATAAAAGTTAAAGAGTGCACATAGTAAAAGAATATTGGGTTAAAAAGTAAAAGAGGTAAAATGGGTAGTAATAATAGTTTAAAAAGTAAAAAGGAATTAGGTAAAAAGAAAAAGGGAGGAGTCTTGCTTTGGATATAAAAGAGGACTCATTTGATACTTAGGAAAGAAAATTTTTGGGGGAGATAAAAATTTCAGAACAAAAGAGGAGATAAGAACATACTTTTAATCTTGAGGAAGAGGATTCCTAAAATATCCGAATACTATTTCTGTGTATTTNGCGCTGTTTCTACTGTTGCTGATCCTATTCTTCCTTTCCTTGTATTCAAATACCAGGTACACGACTGTAATACTAGCTATTGCAAGCTGAAAAATGTGAAAGCATGAATACATGAAGAATGGAACTTTGAAGTTTTAATTTCGCTTTTTCTTCGTTTCTTTTACTGATTGTATTTAGGCTATTTCATGTATTACTGTTTAATAATTGGAATAAGAGAAAAATAACATAAGTTGGTCTTTAGTGAATCAGCTTGGCAAAATGGGTTATATGAAGGTTTTAATATGGTCAA